CTCCACAGCACTTATGTACCCATAAGATGTTTGTGAATAATAATAATAATAATAATAATAATAATAATAATAATAATATGAGCGACAAACAATGCTTAACATTTAGTAGTGGAGCAGAGAGCGATATGATAAATTATTAGATTCAACTGATACTATCTCTTGTTGCTAGATTGATCGTGGTGAGAAGATATATACTGTAGAAAACATTGCATACTATAGAAATTTTCGTTTTTTGAATAATTTTCTTCTGAATATTAAATGATTGATTGAAAGTATAGTTATGTCAAACATTCAGAGTTACAGCGGTTCTTCGTGAGGCTATATCGTTCATGTGGAATTTTGTTCTCTAAGCCGGGTGGTTTGGTCGTGTAACCATAATTTTTCTTCTGAACATCATTAGAGCGAACTGCAGACAGAGGTTGTGTTTATGATATTCAGAAGGGCAATGAAAGTCCCTTGATCAAACTACCCAGCTTGCAGAGCAAAACTCTACTCAAATCATCCACACGAGTTAAAAATTTCCACCATTTTATGCTATATAGTCTTCCACAGACACTGAACTGCTTTGCTTCTGGTTCACAGACTTATCATGTCAACGTTTCAATAGAGCTCGTGTCTTGGGGCAGGCTGAGGTTGAAGTCTAAGTTGGGTGGCTTAAGACAAGTCAACACACCCCTCCTAGGGTCAAAATATCATCAAAAAACATTTGTTTACTTCTTTTTCTTGTGTAAACACTTTATTCTCCATTTTATAAAGAGCTGTGAAGCATTTATGTGTATAAATTAGAGCCACGCATTTCGATTGTACCGGGTATGGTGTAATAAGCCTACTGGGACAGACTTCAGGTCCTTTTATATCTACTTAGTGAGGAACGAATATAGGTTCCATAAATCCACACCAGTCCTTGGAGGACAGTTTCCTCCTTGAGAGCGGAGCGATGGCTATTGTACGGACGGGACCACAACTAAAATCCAAAATCATTAATCGTACTAATAAAAGGGATGTTTCGAAAAATTTAGCGTGATAATATATCAAAAGGATGTCCCTGTTATAGTTCATAGTCTTCTCTGTGTTAAAACTGCCGAGATCATTATTCCGATGATGAACTTCATAAATTCAAATGCACATAACTGTGGAAGCTGTGATAAATCTAGTGGAAGATTTTACGCTCAGTTCAGGTGATCAGCGATTCCCAATGGACTTGTAGAAATATAATATAAACGTATACATAAGCTTAGTCGAAGTGCAAGCCAATGTGGAATAAACGAAACTAAAAAAACTAAAATTTGGGACGTTACAGAACAATTACTTTGAAAATAATGGAGATAGGGTAGACATTATTCTGGAGGTTATGATATTTGGTTTAACGTAGAATACGAAAAAACATATTGCAGTAAAATTAAAGACAACTAAATGGTGTTAGCGTGATATCAAATTTAAGATGCTTCACACGAGAACGTTACACTTGCATGTAATGGTCTATTGACTGAAGGTTGTTTGAAGCAACATCTTTGCGATAAAACATGTAATTACTCTAGATGAATGGAATTAACAAATGCTACCAAGTGTCATTAACATGACAGATCACCTAGAAAAATTATGAGGCACGCAAGCGTTAGTATTATTAGTATTATTATTCACAAACATCTTATGGGTAAATAAGGGTTGTGAAGAAACCATTTCGGGTTTCTTCAAATGTGCAACAATACACAAGTTTCAATAATGTTAGCATTACATTTGCCATGTTTGAGAAAGGAAGGAAAAGGAAAATAAAATATTAATAATGGAATAGTAATAGCAAATCAGGTTCTGTGTAATTGGCGAGAATTTTGAATGGATTTTGGAGAAGGAGAGGAAGAAACTAAGGAAATAGAAATAAAGGAGACGCGGATTACGTAAGTAGCTTAACACAGAACAAGGATAAACAGTTATGTATATATCGCAAAATGAGTAATAAAAATAAAAAAACAAATTGATGAATAAATAACTTATAATTGCGGTAAGATATGGTGTTAGAATAAGTGTTTGTGCAGTCATAGTTTGGAGTGATGCTATGAAAGTCTCAATTAAGTGCAAAAGATAATCGATATGTATCAGTCTTATATGCATAGTGAAAATCAAATGAGTCTGAGTTGATTTAAGCGTAACACAAGTTATTGTCTCAATCCAAAAACTTCGTAATCTTAAGAATAATATTTATTTAGAAGGAAAAAAAGAGAGAAAAGGAATGAACATCTAGTGAAAGGGTCCAACTATGATAATAATAGTGTAATGGATATAGACTTTTGAGATAAACAAATAATTGAAAAAGTAAATTAAATAAATAATGAAAAGCAGAAAAAAATAATGATAGTAACAATAATAAAAAACCTTTGGTGTACTCGGATAAATACATGTAGATTTATGACTGTAGGTTGCTTCTAGATTTTGGAAACCATTAGAAGAACAGACTGCTTTGTAGCACATAGGATCGTGTGCAGTCGGAAATCCCAGTGAGCATCCACTATATGTTAAAGATGTACTTCCCAGTCCATCTGCTGTAGATTGTCATGTAAAGCTGTAACATCCAACCTGTCGAAATTCCAGCGCCTGTTGTTGGTGTAATGTCTTAAATCAGTTTTGGAGATAAAACTGAGGGCTATGACATCATAATAAGTTTGACCCAAGATAGCCAAGATTAATGGTTTATCAATTAGGAAGTCTTGAATTGTAAATGCCCATTCAGGGCGTAGAGACATCTGACTGTTTTTCCAACGAGTTGCCGACTTCACATTTTCGAGTGGTCCCAGGTGTTCAATGAGGTAGAAAAACTAAGCTTCAGTTGAGTTTTCACCTCCAATGTATGTATGTTACGCGAAACTGACTTTAGGAAGACTGAAGTCCCCTAGAATCAGGATATGAGTGAATCCGAGACGAGTAGAGAGGGAAAATCCTTCCAGCATACGACTGTCGTACTCCATGTCAGCAATGGGCTTCCTGTAGATGATCCCAACTAGACATCTGAAGGTGGCAGACAATCTTACTGAGCACCATACGGATTCATCAAAATTGATAAACTCTTGGTTGTGCACTTGATGTGCCTCCAGACATAATCATAAGTATAAAGCTACTACACCCCCAACTCCTGTTTTTCTGTCATTGCTTAACAAAGACATCCCGGGTATTGCTAGCTCCTGGTTCGTATACTGAGAAGATATCCAAGTTTCAGATATCCCTATCATATGAGCGTTATTAGCATTACTCAGTTCACGTAGCTCATCCAATTCATTTGATAAACTCGTAGCGTTCATGTATAAGCAGTTTATGCTTTCAATTTGGAATGCATGAGCTTCCCCTGTTCTGTTTATCTGCATGAGCCTTAGGTGAATGGACAGGTAGGCCACCTATACAAGATTTTTCGAGCTGGTAGTCCCTGTCCTTTCCACGTTTTCTTATGATCGAGAATGGTCAGCTCCAACTTGCCTTTGTGCTTGATCCTGGCGTCATGTGGCCTATCTGGATGCATATGGGTTCCCGTTGTCGACCGGCGTCTTTTGGCACGAAATGCTTCCAGAGTTGCAGCCGCCATATGAGAAGATGTGAAGGTAATCTTCATCAGTTGGTGTCTAGAATCCCCGTCCTTCTTGGCTAATCTCACTGCATGTTGAGCCTGCTTGGTGAATTTCCAATTCCAAATATCAGTTTGTGTGAGCAGTGTTCGTATTTTCTGGTACACCTTGCACAACGATATTTCTTCCGCAAAAAAGGTTCTCGGAAGATTCCTTAGGGATGTTCCACATGGGATCGCTCTTAGAAGACGGTTTGTCAGTCAATATTCTTACATCATCATCTGATTTCAGTAAGTGACTTACCTGTAACACGTCCTCTACACCGGCAGCGTTGGTAAGCGTTACACGAAGCAATTTTGGGTGATTTTGGTGTCTGAAGTTCTTTCCCTGAGTGAGCCGTGTGACCGTCAACGGCTTCAGTTTGAAAAGTTCGAGCTCCCTATTTACCTTTTTCCAGAGCATCACTTGTTCATTTCAATACAATACCTGATTCTTAGACAGTGACACACGGTCCTTCTCAACTTTGTTCACATGGGTCCAGTCGCACACAGTTTCGGGGGACTACGGTTGCATTTGGCGATCCTGTGCTGGGAGATCCAACTTTGCTGAGGGAGCCTAGTACTGTCGGCGTTATTATGTCTCTGAGCTTCAGCATGTCCTCACTGGTGTCAGTAAACGTTCCGTCTACACTAGCGTTGTTGAGGTCCGTTTTCTTTCATTCACTGGGCGTGTTTGTCTGTTCATCCGTTTTAGGACTACCTTTTCCCAGGTTTGTTGACAGCTTTTGCCGCAGGCCTGTCAAGAGGATGATGTCGCTCAGCAAAACCTTAGCATTCATTTCGCTCGCCCTACACATTTACCTACGATCCGACTTATCAAGTCTGTTGTAAGCAACTACTGTCAGATATGAGCATGCTTCGTAAAACCAACCTTTGCATTTGTAACACTGCATGCCAGAGATAACAGCAAAACGGCGTCGGGGTCGCTTGCATGAATTCATTACTATAGTGATGTAACTGAAAATAGACGTTTCTATTGCATAAAGTACACATTTTCTAGTGAATGTCTGAATATACATTCTTATTTGTGACGTAGTACCAAATACAAAGGTATTATGTTATATCCTGTGGTGGACTTAGAAAAGAATAAATCATTACGCTGCTTAAATTACGCTTAAACTTAAAAGCAATTAGTGTAGTATGCTGATGATGGATGTTAGTTAAATGTCATCTTTGTTCATTTTGGTCCATTACATTACCACACTTTTCTCCATAGACAAAGCTTGACTCTTCAATCACCATTTAAGAAAGTTCAGCCATCAAAGCAAGAATTGTAACTGTCTACAGCTCAGACCTTTAACTGAAGACCGAGACAAGGAGCAAACATTCTGCTATTTTCACCCAGACAGTCAAGGTTTAAAATAAATAAACTGTCTTGTTTCTGTTGACATGTAAACAATTGAGTGTGATGAGATACAAACAATTTTAAAATTAATTTTGATATAAAGGCTGAACGTTTAATAGTTTTCTTTTAAATTTTTTTCAGAGACCGTAATAGGTTTCTTCGTTTTAATCGACCTAGGTAAAGCGGCAGGTTCTAGTTTTCTTTCACATTATGCCTGATCCAAGAGGAACACAGTTAAAAGTTGTGAGTGTTTTGTTCATTAATCTATTATAACAGTCATGTTTGTGATATTCAACCTTCACACTTTTCGTTTTTTGCCGTATAGAATGTAAACCCAGAGACCATTTATGACATTCTTGAACGGATCGGAAGAGGCTCTTTCGGGGAAGTTTATAAGGGTGTTGATAGAAAGACAAGAGAAGTTGTAGCTATCAAGCTTATCGATTTGGAAGCAGCTGAGGATGAGATTGAAGATATTCAGCAAGAGATAAAAGTTCTTTCTCAGTGCAACAGCCCGTATATCACGAAGTACCATGGTTCTTATTTGAAAGACACTACATTATGGATCGTCATGGAATACTTAGGTGGTGGATCTGCACTTGATTTAATGAAGCCTGGACCTATACCGGAGGTTCATATATCTACTATTTTGAGAGAGATATTAAAGGGACTAGATTACCTACATAGTCAAAGTAAAATTCACAGGGATATAAAAGGTTTGTTATTCGTAACATTTCAGTCTTAAATTCGTTTAATAAATTCATTTGTTCTAAAGATTTCTGGTGACGGTTCATCTTCATATTTGTGGACAAGCCGTTGGTATTCAGTTTCGTAGAATTCTGACAGTTCCTTATCTGTTATTATTTGTGTTGGTGAATTTTCAAAAGTTTTCACAGCTAATGAGTGTTTTCTATTTGTAAAAGTCGAAAACAGACCTCATTTTTAGTCTATCATCATTTAGAAGGTCAACGTAGGTATGTTGAGTGGTTTGTAGAATATCTGTAGGAAAACATGACTCAACATATTCTAATAATAAATCTCGTCGATGCTTCCGGGTTTATAAAGGGAGACTATAATTTATGGACGAACCAATCGGGTGTAAGATAACAGGTTCCGGATTTTGGCGCGAAATCCACTCATTTATTTAGGTATATAGAGTTTTGGTATTATAGCTGATATCAGTTCGTGGCGAAAACCCTAAATCTGATTCCTAACCCTAACCACCAAACCATAAATTATGATCTCATTTATAATCCTCAAATAAAGGCTAGACGGTGAACGTTAAGTATGCAGCCAAACCAGTGATGAACCAAAAATCCTCGTTACAACAGGTGTTGTGACTTCTGTTCGTTAAATATTACGTGAACATCAAATAACATTAAGTATTGCAGGTTAACATGTGTTTTTCGCTCATAGGCTCATTTAATTAAAAAAAAAAGACAATTAAGAATATCTGTTTTTGGACTCCACATATTTTAGGCTATCTCGGCTAGCTTGACTTTTATTACTGGTGTACTTTTGATTATGGATAGCCTATATATGTCTACTCATGGGTAGTAATGGCTTTTCCCAATTCGATAGTAGACTAAAGTGACCAACTATCAATTTAAATATTCCTGCTTGTTTATTCTGTCCCTGTTTTTAACTGAGCAGGTCATTAGTGCTGTCTTACGGCTTGGTTGATATTACCATTACATATCTTTCATGTTGTTGACATTTGCATGTATTTAGCTTTACTTTTCCAAGTTTGTTTTCTATTTTCACTGGAATTAATTAATTAATTGGTATATCATTCGCCTTTTGATAGCTGCTAATGTCCTGCTTTCCTACAGTGGTGATGTAAAGTTGGCCGACTTCGGCGTCGCTGGTCAGTTGAGTTCAACTATAACTAAGCGTGGCACCTTTGTGGGGACCCCATTCTGGATGGCTCCTGAATTAATTCAGCGATATGCGTACGATTTTAAGGTCAGTTGTTCTCAGGACTGTCTAAAGTTTGATCCAGTATTTAACACCCAGGTATTCATCTGTAAAGGCTTTTCTTAAAGCAAAGGATTCGATTCGCATTCAGAAATTCCCAAATGACTGAAAAGTAAAGGGTTCACATTTTGTTGTTCCAAACTTCTCAAATTTAATTTTCTTTCTTATGATATATAAAAATATAACTACTCAAATCGTATTCAATACTTTGTACCTTTGTAAGCGTCCCCAAATACCCTGGTACGGCCGAGAGTGGAGAGAGTCCGCTCCCTCTCGAAATGCTCTCACATGGACACGCGAATATAGCCTCTGCCAGGGAAGTCCTACTCACTGCCTTCTTGTGGCGGGAGTGTTGTTTACGAAATTGAGAAGACGAAAAGTGAATTTCCGGCGCTTCAACCAGGTTGGTGGATGCGGAGGATCCACCTAGGGGAGTTGGAAAACCCTGATTCCAAACCAATGGTGCACATGGGCTACAGTATCCTGAAGGAGCAAATGGCGTACGAACCAATTGTTGGTCACCGACTACCATGGGACTGCATCGCCTCACGATGCTCCACTGCTTTGTGGGTTAGACCTCTAGGTGAAAGGCTCAGGATGTGGCCCCCTAAGAAAACCACTTGCTGCAGTTTGGACACCTAGGCAGTATCACAGCCCTCACACAAACCAAATGAGATTTGTGTAGCGCATATTTATCTGGTGCTTCTTTGTACCAATATTTATGTTTTCAAATAAATTTGACCTAAAGGTCTAACCCACAAAGCAGTGGAGCATCGTGAGGCGATGCAGTCCCATGGTAGTCGGTGACCAACAATTGGTTCGTACGCCATTTGCTCCTTCAGGATACTGTAGCCCATGTACACCATTGGTTTGGAATCAGGGTTTTCCAACTCCTCTAGGTGGACGCGCCGTGTTCACCAACCTGGTTGAAGCGCCGGAAATTCACTTTTCGTCTTCTCAATTTCGTAAACAACACTCCCACCACAAGAAGGCAGTGAGTAGGACTTCCCTGGCAGAGGCTATATTCGCGTGTCCATGTGAGAGCATTTCGAGAGGGAGAGCGGACTCTCTCCACTCTCGGCCGTACCAGGACATTTGGGGGCATGTTATCTCTGGGCTTTCAAAATAATACTTAACTGATTGTAAAGGATTTCAGTGCTCGAATTTCTTCAAATTAGAGAACAAGTTGCATCAGCGAGCACTCATGAACTTTATAGTATTGTTCAGGTTGGATAACGTGATCGTTCTGACCTCAGATTATCTAGACGCTGAACGTCTCTCGAATCTGAGAATCTTGGTGTAAAAAGGGGCCCCTCGAGACTGAATTCAGTTGATATTATCTCAATTGTCACTCCGTGTAAGTGATGCTGACACTGGACAGTATTTAAGAATGCTGAGTCGTTTCATGTACCTGTAGATCATCCGCTGAGATATTTGAAGTATGTATTACTCTCAGTTTTAGCTACCCAAATGTGCAATGGATTTTAGAGGCTATCAAACACTGTCCATAGGGTCATTTTTGGCTGTTTTTAGTTGGTATGTGAAGTGCAGACTCTGTGTGATAACCATTAACATTATTTAATGACCTCTATTGATGAGTCATAGTAATTTCATTTATTATCTAAACTTATAATTTTAATAATGCTTGGTGCTTCTATCCCTTTATTTCAACCCTTTTTTGTATAACCATATATTTTATGCTTATCATTTTAGCATCGTGGCATTGATATCACTTTTGCTGCCATCGTATATCTGTTATTTATATCGTATTGATTTCGTTAGACAACGTTTGTATTAGGTCATGATTTGTGAAATGAAATTGGAATGTAAGGATTCAGAAGGATGGGGACAGATGCTACTGCTTTTTTTGTTTTTTTTTACATACGAATAAATAACTAAAAAAATAAACTCGTTCACCGGGTACTTGGATATGAGAGCTAATGATATAAACCAGCTTCCTAAACCGAAGTAGGTGGAGCGGGGTTCAAACCTAGAACTTAGTGACGTGAATTTTAATTCCTTTGCTACTAAGCCTACGCTCCATTATGAGCATAACTGTGTTGACTACAACCTAGATAAAATGTCAGTCAGTCAGTCAGCAACAACGTAGGACCAGGTACATATATACATCGGTCCAAGTTGCCATTACCTCGTTAGCACAACAAGATGAACACCGGATTCATAGAAGTAAATAATTTAGTGGTGGTAGTATATAAAGAAAGGTTGTATATAAAGCTATAGTATAGGAAGGAAAAAAGTTATGAAGCAATTTTAATCTCAAGGTTTAAGGGAAGATGAAGAGTGTATACACCTACGCCATTGTGATCGATTCTGAGCCATGTCACCCAGAGTCTCCAACCACTTATTACGATAGTCACGCGGACCCCAACCAGGTAGTCTGGATCTGCCAACATGGCTCAGACTAGAAGTTAGTGACTTCAAGCACTGATGCCATGTTTTGGTTTGGCCGCCCCTAACTCTCTTCCAACAATCCCCTACACTAGTCATCATAGCGCGTCGTGGTAATCGGTGTTCAGGCATACGTAACACGTGGCCCAACCATCTCAGTCGATGAAGATTCATCACCTCATCAACTGATTTACCATCATTCCCTAATACCCTGCGTCTAACCCCACTATCACTTACCCGGTTATTCCAGCAGATGCAAGCAATATTTCTAAGGCATCTGTGGTCAAATACTAGTAACCCACGAGTATCTTCTACTTTTTATGGCCATGTTTCACAACCGTAAAGTAGGACAGAGCGAACTGTTGCGCAGCATATTCGTTCCTTAATCGATAGACGGATATCTCGTCTTCGCCATAGGTGACGTAAGTTGGCAAAAGCCAAACGAGCTTTTGAATCCGTGCTGAGATTTCGTCAGACACCAACCCATTAGGGCTGATCAGACTTCCAAGATAAGTGAATTTGTCGACGCGTGAATTTGACTTCACTCCCTATCCTTAGTTTGGATGTTGACGCGGGCCAGTCCTGGAGTAACAATTTACATTTGGATGGGGCGAAACGTATCCCAAACATCCTGGCATTATTACTGAGTTCCAACAGAAGACTCTGCATTTTATCATCGTCTTCACCAAACAGGACTATGTCATTTGCGTATTCTAAGTCGACAAGTGAACCTCCTGGTAGGAGATCAATTCCTGAAAATTCAGTCGACGAGAGTGTTATTTCCAGCAACAAATCTATAATGAAGTTAAACAAAAATGGGGATAGTGGACAGCCTTGACGGACACCACTTGAGGTTGTAAAATCATATGACAGTTCGCCATAAGCTCTCACTCGACTGGTAGTGTTCGAGGAAAGAGCCTTCACTAGGTTTATGTACTTCTCAGGTACACCTTTTAATGACAGACACTGCCACAGAACCTCTCGGTCTACAGAGTCAAATGCTGCTTTTAAGTCAAGAAAAACTATCATTGTCGGACGCCGATAAGCATGTCTGTGCTCTAAAACTTGACGAATGGTGAATATGTGGTCGATACAGCCACGACCAGGTCTGAAGCCAGCCTGATTTTCTCGTGTTTGCAGTTCACTATGTCTGAGCGCTTAGCTTTCTAAAGAAGCTTAGAGAGCTTTCTGTAAGAATCATCTTTCACTTCATCATGGCTGCAGTCAGTGGGAGCGTAGGCAGAAACGACGAAAAGGCAACAACGTGTGTCCCTATCCTTCCGAGTTCTTACGGAACCATTTAGCCGGACAGCACACAGGCGACTGTTAACGGGGATCCATTCTAGTAGTGCCTGTTCTGCCCTTGTACTTAGTGCTATGCCTACACCTGCAAGTCCGCGAGAACTAGCCAACGGGTCGCCAGATACACGGAGGGTGTATTTCGTTTGCTGTCCATTTTGGCGAGGTGAGGTCAAGTGAATGACCACACTGGGATCCTGTATGCGTGTTTCGGAGACACAACATACATCAATGGTACGAGATTCTAGGTTTTTAGCTAAGGAGGCCTGTTGACCGATTTGACTTAAAGTACGTACGTTGAAGGCTCCAATGTGTAGTTTGGAGCGAGGTTTTAGTAGACCTGGGACAGCGTTTCGAGCACTAGAATCGTTGGCCATGGTGACACTTGAGGAGGAAACCGAGAGAGGAAGTTTAGTGTTGAAAGTCAAGGTAGAAGGAATGGTAGGAATTAAAGAAGGAGATTGATAATGAATACAGTGGTCTTGAGTGTTAGAGGTATGAGAGCAGTTATCACTTCCCGGTTGCCCACACCGTGGAAGGGTTCTTCTAGAGGTACCTGAAAATGAAATTGGGTTAGTGTTGGTCTTAATGACCTGAGAGCGTGATCGCAGTGCCCAAGGGACAACTGCTTGAGGCCGGTCACACACGACTTTTTTGTGGGTAGTTTTTGTGTTAGCTCCGTTCTTCAAAAAAAACCTTACCGCCGGAGACGGATATCCGTGGGATAAGGCGAGGTGTGCATTTTTAGGATCGACCTTTTCCAACCCCACCCCTCCTTGTGGGAAGGCAGCATCGCTGTCATGCTGGTTGTCTGAAGGAAACACCTTACTGCCGTCACACCTCTGTACAGTCGGCAGTACGACTTCGCCTCCGGACCTTGGGATTTTTATTTATTAATTTAAACATAAATATTGGTACCAGATAAATATGCGCCTCGCAAATCTCATTCGATTTGTGTGAGGGCTGTGATACTGCCCAGGTGCCCAGACTGAAGCAGGTGGTTTTCTTAGGGGGCCACACCTGGAGCCTTTGACCTAAAGGTCTGATCCACAAGGCAGTGGAGCATCGTGAGGAGATGCAGTCCCATGGTAGCCGGTGGCAAACAGCAGGTTCATTCGCCATTCGTTCCATCAGGATCCTGGAGCCCATGTGCACCATTGGTTTGGAATCAGGGTTTCCCAACTCCCCTAGGTGGATCCTCCGCATCCACCAACCTGGTTAAAGCGCCGGACATTCGCTTTTCGTCCTCTCACTTTTGTGAACAACACCCATGCCACGAGAATGCAGTGAGTAGGACTTCCCTGGCAGAGGCTATATATTCGCGTGTCCATGTGAGAGCATTTCGAGAGGGAGAGGTGACTCTCCCCACTCTCGGCCGTACCAGGGCATTTGGGGACCTTGGGGTTACTGCTTTATTTTTACCGCTCTTCAACTGACCTGTCTGGCATGGTAGGACCTCGAGAAACGATTGTTCCAGCCAGCATAGCTCGATTGTTTCATCACGATAGGCTAGCCCAACCACCACGTCAAGGTAGCAGCAACAGTCGGGATAAATGTAGCATAAATTTAACCAAGAGCCTTAAAACCTTTCCGTAAGACAAGGCACTTAGATCCAGTAGCTGTAGCGGATGATTTTTACGACCATATCGACAAATTTAGTTAAGCTAAAATTAATTAGATATGTTCTATTATTCCAGCTCGGAAAATATTATTGGATACATACTAAAGCTCTACTTAGATAAAAAATTTTTCTCTAACCGTTTTAGGCGCAAAGAAACAATGTTTGACTTTAAGGTCTCTCGTGCCAGCGAGCACAAGTAGACCATATTCTCATAATCTATTTCTAGAAAAGCTTGTTAGGAGACTACCGCTCTTTTTGAGGTACATTTCTACAGTATGATCATGTTTTGGTTCAAACATTCATGTATCTGTCTTGCGAGACACATCGAGTTTTTAACAAGAGAACTTTTTTAAACACATTTCGAATGCTGAAATGTATCTAACTAAAATCTATCTTGTCGCTAGGCGAAACACGAAAAGATTACCCCTGAGGTAGCCTTAAATGATCTGTACTTTTCTGTAAAATCAGCTGTTACTTCTGTTATCAATGTAAACCAAAAGTTCTAGCAAATTTCAGTAGTTACTGGTTAACTAATAAATATTTAAAATCTTATACAAACGAATTCAAATTGGTATAAAAATTGTAAACAACCTAGACATACAATGTCCACAGGATAGTCATAGGCAATAGTGGGCAAATACAAGTGGAAAAGGCAGCCACGATAGACAACATTAAAGTATGTTCAATCTTATCAAGTAGTTGAGATAAGCAGTTGGGTGTCAGTAAAACTCACTACAATGACGTAATGCTCTTAAACCAAGGGACTAAAACAGCAGGTAGAGTAGCTTAAAGGACAATTCAAACGTCCCTCATTTACTTTAACTGCATCCCAATTATCGCTAACCTTCATGGGAGTTTGATATCGAACCTTGAATTTTTAAGGAAGGAGAAAATGTAGTAACTAATCTCAGTTATGGAAAAGCATCAAGTCTTGAAGGATTAGCTTCCTAAGCTATTATTTATTTATTTGAAAACATAAATATTGGTACAAAAAAGCACCAGATACATATGTGCTACGCAAATCTCATTTGGTTTGTGTGAGGGCTGTGATACTGCCCAGGTGTCCAAACTGCAGCAAGTGGTTTTCTTAGGGGACCACACCTGGAGCCTTCGATCTAAAGGTCTGATCCACAAGGCAGTGGAGCATCGTGAGGCGATGCAGTCCCATGGTAGCCGGTGACCAACAGTTGATTCATACGCCATTCGTCAGCAAAGGAATCATCAGTGATAAGAATGAACTAATATCACACAGCTTTTAACACTCGCTACTTATTTGGTCTATTTTGAATCCTTCAAAGAGTCACTGTTGAAATAATCTTCGTTACTTTCCTTTTTTTTCTGTATTTTCTGCTTAATAAATTTCTGACTTTCAAATTACCGGGTTATTTATTTTATTTAATAACCAACTGTAAATTGTCCTTTGGATTTTCTAGGTAGATATATGGTCTACAGGAATTACAGCCATTGAATTAGCTAAAGGAGAACCACCTAATGCTGACCTACATCCGATACGTGTTCTCATGCTTATTCCAAAAAACCCTTCTCCTCAGTTGACTGGCGATTTCAGTAAGGTATTCAAAGATTTTGTCGACTGCTGCTTGACTAAAGTTCCAGAAAATGTAAGTCTTTAGTTATTTGTCCGGTTATGTTATTAAAGTAATTATTTTTATTCAATATTGATGTATTTCTGGTTATTGTTAAATTCCCAAGTATTATTTCTCATCATATCAGTTTTCTGAATGCAGTACAAATTCGTTCTTTTGTTTCCTTGGTTTCCGTGTCGTAATACATTCACGTCATTTTCAAACAGATCTCATTTTGGGACTCTGGTAATTCTTGTAATCTATACTGAAAATGAGTAGACTATATAGGTTTTCAAATTTAATCCTTTTGAATGAACTAGATTCTCATTTTGAATGAACTGCGATTGAGTAAATTGACTGAGTTTCGAATCGTTCTTTACTTTTTATAATCATTATAATATTGAACAACCATCCATTGATAATTGTTTGTGTAAATTCCGCCTATTTTTAATATCTGCTTACCTCAATAGAAAGCTCAATAATCCCAGAACTTAACTTAGTATTGTTTGTTTGAATCTTCCCATCGATTTGTTAGGACTGCAACTGGTCAGTCTCTAATTGGCATATGTGCATAAGGTGCGTATTGCCTCGATATACCTTAATTCACAAGCATGGTAAGCAGAGATGGATAGTGGCTAGCAGTGGAATCCAGGACGCGTGTTTCGTCCTATTTGGGACTCGTCAGCTGGATGTACCTGCATCTCAGAGTTGATGTTCGCACAAGCAAGTGACTATCAGGACTCTGGCCGAGTGGTTAACGCGATGGCGTTTGAAGCGAGGGTACTGGGTTCGAATCCCAGAGTGAACATCAACTCTGAGATGCAGGTACATCCAGCTGACGAGTCCCAAATAGGACGAAACGAGCGTCCTGGATTCCACTGCTAGCCACTATCCATCTCTGCTAATCCCAGAACTGTTTACAAAATTTTTTTGTGGGTTCTTGAGACGATTAGAATCACTCTCTGTTCAAATTAATGTACCATTACAATTTAGTCTACCCGTTTTGTTCTTGTGTTATTTAATGGATGTTTTTCGTGTTCATTAATTTTTGTTTTAATTATTTTTTCTGTGACGTTAAACCTAATGCATGTACACTGTATTTGTCTATTGAGTTACGTCTTGTATGATTCCTGTCTAATGCTCTTAAATGTAATAAACAGGATCACTACAACTTAGTACTCTCTTTATGGATAGGTGGTAACATAAAACCAAATAACGGTTGCTTCTTGTTTGCTCATATTATGGTATGGTAATCTAATCCATGCAATCGTACAAATATCTCTTATTGTGTTTACAATCAATTATTGCCAGATTTAAGTAATTTTGTACTATTGGGCAAAAATAATAGTGATTTCGATTCTAATTATTAGGATGATCATTTTACATGTTTTGATTGTATTATGGTTTTACGACTCAGGTCATATATGTGCGATTGGCTTGAAGTGTAAATCAATATTTTAAAGTAAACCTTCAATTTTTTGGACAAATACGTATATATTTATCTTTTGATTGATAAATTGTCAAGTATTCAAAATGTTTTAGGGTTCATTTAAGTCAGATGACTACACTAGACAGTTTGACTTGTGCTATGAATGACTTATTCGCAATTTCGTTCTTCATATTGAATTAGTTTTCACAATGATATTGATCATTTATCAATATAATGATACTTTGTTAGCTCACCAACTGATGTTAAAATTATTATTTAACACCATTATGTAAAATGTCATCTATCTGGTGGTATTCATTTCCTTTTAGATGTTTTGTATATAGTCCATAAACCATTTGGTTATATTACTCATAACTTACACGTATTCTGTATGTATCACATAACACATGGAAGGAAGTAGTCATACCTACATTATGTTCATAGATTCATTTTAATAATTTTGCTACTTTTTTGTATTCATATTCCATCCACTGTCTAGGTTGTTTATCCACAACTCCACGCTAGTAGTCTTCAATTTTTTCAAAACATATATGCCTCTACATAACTGAATAAATAATTTAAATTTTTTCGATCTTTTCTTCGTATATAAATCTATATGTGGTACAATAGTCACTATTTCTAGAAGCTAGTAAAGTTCTAGTTCTATTTTGATTATCTGTTAATTTTCTGTTTATTAATGCTATGCAATTACAGTTTTTTTTAAAAACTTTCTGCTGATGTAATACTCACTATTCACTTGCTTTTCACCACACAAGGTTATGCAACCTGTTTATCTCTACCGAGTTATGATTTTACTGGTTTCAGTAAAAAGAACTTTGTAACCTATTAGCCAGGTATATATATATATATATATATATATATATATATATATATATGCTAAACAATCGCTCAAATTTCATTGGATCTTCACAATTTCGAATTAGGATGTACTAATTAGAAGTTAAGGACGTAGACTGGAGTAACAATGTCAGTGATTTGAAGTGATACCACAAGTTGTGAAACAAGCGACCAACCATATAGGTGAAAGTGACATCAGTTATTCGAAATATTCAATAAGATGATGTATTCTAGAAAAGGTATTTTAGTGAGACCGCATTGTAATGATTATGAGTTACTAAGTGATCAGGTTGCTGTGTACCTTATTAACGGTCGCTTGTTTTTGTACTGTTCTTTATTTCCTAATTTGCTTTGCCGTAAATTCGTATTCAGTATAAGCGTTCACGTTTGACCAGACAGTGACTGGAGAACGTTTAGATGGAACAGAGTTTCGACCATAAGCCAGCTGCCGCATAAGTTGGAAAGTAAGGATATACAAAATTAAGAATTAAAGGGAGTGAGTAAGCGTGGTAAATAATAATAATAATAATAATAATAATAATAATAATAATAATAATAATAATAATAATAATGTAAATTGTCTGACTTTTAGTGGGAGCGAGAAAAGCATCGTGAGCAGAAAACGTTATTTCATATGTTTGCGCGAGGGCTGTGATACTGCCCGGGTGCCCAAACTGAAGCAGGTGGCTTTCTTAGGGGGTCTCACCCGGATCCTTTGACCTAAAGGTCTAACCCACAAGGCAATGGAGCATCGTGAGGAGATGCAGTCCCATGGTAGCCGGTGACAAACAGCAGGTTCATTCGCCATTCGTTCCATCAGGATACTGGAGCCCATGTGCACCATTGGTTTGGAATCAGGGTTTTCCAACTCCTCTAGGTGGACGCACCGTGTTCACCAACCTGGTTGAAGCGCCGGACATTCGCTTGGGCATGTTCTACGAATATCGTCCCATAGAATTCCACGTCGTGCATTATTTGCCGACGCTGGGACTGGTTGGAAAAAGCGAAGAGGTGGTCAGTATGACATGGTGTCGTGGTATGAAAGAAAGCTTCAAAGGACTGGCTTCTGTTGGCTCTTCACGACTCCTTGGCTGGGGTACGAGAGATGGTGCTAAATAGTGGCTAAATATGTTATCAGATATGGCTCAGAATAGAAGCCAATGGCGATCCTGCTGTAACCTCTTTTACTTTCTGCATAAAGAGTGCTTATAACCTCCTTAACTGGAAAAGTTTTTCTGGTTGTACATTTCAGTTCCCCTCACCATTACTTTTTTATATGCATCTTACCCCTTTCTCTTCCCATTTTCATTCTTTTGTGTGGCGCATATATATCTTGTGCCCCCTTGCACCAATATTTGTGTGTTTAAATAAATAAATAAATAAACTGCCGTAAATACTTTATTCATTGATACTATTGTAACCATCATCTCTTATTTTACATACTTGCTGTAGAACGACTTATATCAAACAAATTTTTCAGGTTATGTATTTGTATGGTTTCTTTTTCAGATATTTTTCATTGTAATCTATCTAGGGTTACTTAAACAACTTATTCATGCATTACTGTAAATAGTTTAGTCTGTCCCATATTCTCTGTACATTAATTGCTTTTATGTCTGTCAAATTCATCTTTTTCCAGAGACCAACCGCACATGAATTGCTACGTCACAGTTTTATTAAAAAGGCTCGTAAAACAGCTTTTCTACAAGAGCTAATTGAGCGCTATCGAAAATGGCGTGATGAAGGTGGAGATGATGATGCAGATGGTGAATCTGACGACGATGGACTGTAAGTTCAAACATATTTAACTGCTCTTTTCGTGTACAACATATTTTATTATACAGAATTGGGAGATTTTCTTAATAATGGTATGAGGTATGCACTGACTGACTGAAAATCTCCTAGATTTTAAATATACATATGATAATTTAGATCCTATCTTGTTGTGTAGCTGCTAATCACTGGTTTAGATACAACACCTAATCACTCTGGTAAACTTGCAGATCTCACTCCATTTCACTACCGTCAATTGCCTATTATAATTATCCCTAACGCTATGACATTGGGTCAATAATTCAGCCAAAAAATCTAGGTAATAAGTTTAAGTTTCTTAGTTTTGTCAATTACTTAACAATTTGTAAATGTTTTCTCACCAATATTTGCTTCAACATATCATATCTTCCTATTGTCCTGGCCTTTCAGTTAACATAATCCATTGTTTAATGTTAGTCATTGCATATACTCAAGTTGATGTGTAAATGGTTTTCAAATTCTGATTTTTTAAAAATTATATTTCATCCGTAGACCACCACTCAAACATCTTAATCCTTGGTTTCATGCAATCATAAACAACGTAAGGTCGTTATAAAGTTTTACTGCGAAAATGCTGATGCCCTCTTAGACATTTTGAATTCTTTAGCTCTTGGAAGTCATATGTATCACGTAATGGAATTGTAAACTACGGCCTTCATAATTCATTTTACGTGTTATTAAGCCTAAGTAGTCATTGACTGCTGGAAAACCAAAAGAACGACTTTTAAGGACAGTTTTAATTTCGACTGCAAAAGAGAAAAGCACTTATTAAGTTTTAAGAAACAAGCTCTTCCTATCTGTAAATGTAATCTGTATGACCATATCAATGTTAATTGGACAGTTTATAAACCCAACATTCAACATTGGTAGTTTTATTGTTGAAAATCTGTTTTCTAACCAATAACCTTCAGTATATCAATAAATCAATATATTTTCATTTCGTATTCTACCTGATATGATCAGGGATGTAGGACAAAATCTTTTGAAGTGTGATAAAATGGCTTTATTGTTGAGTTCACTGTTTTTCTATAAGGGACATAAAAGTACAAATCTAAACTACTTTGTTTCTTTCAAGTAAGATAAGATTGGAGTTAAATTATCGTCAGTATGCTCATTAAAGTATTGTAGTTTAGTTTCCGTTTCATGGTAAGAGGAAAACCAGTCTATAAAAAACATAGGAAATATATAAGACTACTGACCATCTATTTATAGGTTTCATCACAACAAAACACTTAGGAATTCTTCATTTTAAAGGAAATGGTATTTTGTAGAAGAGGGAAGTCATACAATGACGAAACAACTTTAAAAAACTTGTAATATAAACGAAGCCAAGAAAGATTTCGTTCCTCGATTACTGTTAAGTGTGAAAAAGTAATTGATTGTTGTTAATCTTTAGGTCTGCTTCACTTCCCCTATTTTTAAAATGGAATGAGTATGTTATACCTAATGAGTGAGTTGTCAATAGTTATGGTCATTCTTATTATGAAAGTTGATTATGTCCTTCGTGTTATGGAAGCGCTAATTTCTCTTTAAAGCTCGGCATGTGAAACATGAAAGCGAATTGAAGATATCTGATTGATTTATGGTCTACCTGTTGACCTAAGGACAATTTGTGTTATCCACCTGCAAACATTAAAATATAATTGGCTGATATAATTCCATATTGCAGTGACTAAGAGTTGACTGTTTATGTCTCACTATGTTTACTCATGATGATTGTGGTGTGTACAATTTTATCATCCAGCAAATGCGTCCAGTCGGTGTAAGTACCCATTTACACTGCACTTTTGTTCTTATGGGTAGGCTTGAATATCAGACTGTTAAATAGGTAACGAAGTTATTGTCACTCCTTGATTTTTCTGTAGATCCACTCTGGTAGCGCTTCCGGGACTATTATTATTATTTTTTATTCTTGGAAGATAGTCATGACCTCGGATATGTTGTATTTAAGATGATTTCAACACCACACTTGCTTGAACCAAAATTTAGAAAACATCATCCTAATATTTTCAAAAATCTAAATAACATATCACTTGACCAAATACATGTTTGCGATGAATCAACATCAAAAATTCCAAATATTAGAAACTGGAATTATTGTTCACTAAATATATACTAGTTTTGTTTGTAAGATCTAGTGTGAATGACTGACTATTCATTCGTTGATATACAAGAAAAAATGTAGTCAAAGTCCAAATTGTATTTTGTGGAGAATCATTTTGCCGAAGTATATTTAACTATCGGACAAGTAGACATGAGTTTTGAAATGAAATAACTCATTTCGTTTAGTTCTTTAAGCTTCAAACAGTTGAGCCTACAACAACTATCTCAAATTTAATATTCAGTCTGTTTTCTTTTGATTTTGGCTAGTCATCCCAACCGCTTTTATTGCGAACCATGATATCAGATTGTTATCATCAGAGTTTGCACCATTCCTACATGATATAACACAGCGTATAATGTAGAAGTAACTTCGGAAATACTTTATTACAGTATCAATTTTTGATCTTATAATAAGGAATATCATTTTGTTAGTTGATTGTCTCTTGGATGATTTTTTCTACTTAGGGTTCCAGGCATTTGCTGAAGTATGTTGTCAACGATTTTGTAAAGAAGTATCTTTACTTTTATCTAATCCCTGTTACCCCTTATAGAGCACAGGCCGCTGATCAGGATTCTCCAACCAACTCTATCCTGCGCTGTCTTTCTCAGTTGTTTCCTAATATTATTTTGATGTCTGCCTCTAATTCTTAACTCAATCTGTTCTATGGTCTCTCTTTCCGTTTTACTCTTAGGATCCCAAGTTAGTCCTTACCTCGTGATTCAGTTTGATGATTTCTTCAATGTATTGTGGTACAATGTTTTTGCGACCCAGTGAAATGTTAGGTATTTAAAGGAGTTTTTCTGCAAACTCTAAGTTCTGTATGGAACAAATTGTCAATTATTTGGTTAGGTGTATTTTGTTCAGTAATAACAACAGCTGAAAATACTGAGTGGTTTGAATCTATTGATCATTTCTTAACAAAACATCATACTGCGGAAGCCCGGTAGTTTATTAGTATAGAAACTATATATAAAGGATTCTCACATAAAAATGTGTATCAATATGCGAATATCTTTATGAGGCATCAACTTCATATTGAATACGTATTGAATATACCTACACAGCTGAAATTTTCTAATCACCCTGTCAATTAGGTTCCGCACTTTTACGTTGGCACATTTCATCATTCCACCTAATGCCATAGGTAAAGATTTGGTAAATTTTCCATAAAATTTGCGTTTATTCTTAGATGGCTCAACATTTGTCCTGCATTATTCGATTATCACTTAAATATTTACAGATCACGTATTAGGAACATTCCCTTACTTTACGTTGAGATTTTAATCTAATCAAATGTAAAAGGTCATAGTTTCTTTGATCGAATAATTCAATTGCTGTTTTTAAGCTATGTTTAGACGACTACATGATTCAGATCCTTAACAGGCTTCAGTTAATGAATTTCAAACCCTATACATGGTGTTGTGTGGTATCAGTTTGTGTAGTGATATGGTTGTTTGGTTTCCGGCATTAGACATGTAAAGTTTATTAATTTTTGGTCAAATCGATAATTGCCAATTAAACAAATGGAGTATTGCATACCTTACACAACTTACATAAACGTGAAGAGAGGTTTTTTTTCTATATGAAAAATAATATTGGATTGTCTTTTTGTGCATATACGCACATTCACATTCCTTTTTTGGTACTGATTTGTCCAAGATCTGTGTTTCTTGTTTGTTTCTTTTCTTTATTCTATTTCCATAGTGTAATTCACTGAAAAGAAAGACTAGCATATATGCTGCATATAAACAATTTTTGTTCATAGTATATATGTCTGTACTTACGTAATTTGATCTTTTTGTTCAAATAATTGTGTTGTATTATTACAATTTAGTTACTTGTTATTTATAAATGTTTCAAAATTTTTCAACGTTTAACATTGAAATTCAAGTAAATGTTTAGTAATTATTTGTTTATACTCAAGATTAAATAGGAATGCTGTGAAACCACATAACGTTTACGTAATGAAGGTTTATACTCTTCTATCTAGTTTGTAATTACATTTCGTTAAAGCGTTCATGATTTTCTAGACTAAACTCTTTTATTTTTAAAAATTGTTTGTTACATTAAATTTTTAAATATGAAATTATTTGTTTAACATTTTTCCCAAGTGTCTCAAGATATATCAATAATATTTCTTTTGAAATTTCATAGTATCGATCCTGCTTCAGTTTGGGCACCTGTGCAGTATCACAGCCCTCACGCAAATCTAATGAGATTTGTGTGGCGCATATGTATCTGGTGCCTCTTTGTGCCAATATTTATGTGTTCAAATAAATAAATAAATCAATCATAGTATCGATGCTACTCATTTCTGTCGTTTTATAATAATAATATTATTATTATCATTACTATTATTATTATTACTACTATTATTAGTATTATTAAAGAGTAGACCTACTTATTGAAGACTGTGACAAAATTATGTCCTGGATGTTATTTCAAGTGACAATCTAAGAATGTTTAATATTTGTTCCTTTTTCTCTAAAGACATGATTTTACTTCAATATTAGTCTGTTAGTAAGGAGTGGAGTATTTGACAACCTTAATATTTCTACTTATCTTGTAAGTTTCGTATTATAACCGAAATTATTGGTTATGGGTCTTAAGCAATGTAGCTAAGAATGGCTTCCAGTGACCCAGTTGCACCAAAATCTTGAAAAGGTTTTTGTTCTCTTTTTTCTTGTACATTTTTTGTCCTTTTACAGATTCCACAAGTAGGTATTAAGTAAAGTGCTTATTGAACTTATCCATCCATTTACATTTTAAAATTGGAAGAAATATGCTGATAAATGGCCGATTAAAAGTACAGGTTTTTTAAAAATAAATTTGTTTGAAACTCGTATATGACTTGAAAACTATTGTTAGAACTGAATCCAGATTGAACACCATTTTGTTAGATATGTGCCTAAGCTGAAGTCCCAAATGAAAGTATTATTATTAGATGCTAAAAGTTCGAATCAGTGAAACGTTTGATAAAAAACTAAATTTTGTCATCAAAGAGTTCTGAAATAGTGTGGGATAAAGGATTTAGAATTTACAGAAAGCTAGTACATGAAACGGTAATATAATATAGGTATCATTACCAAGATTTGATTTGATAATTTTGAATAAATTGAGCATTGGGTAGATTGTTATAAATAAATTAATATATTTGTAATATCCCAATGAGTAGAAAAATTAGATTTTCTGACGTTTCGTGACTCAGTGTAAGCCATTTCTTCAGAGAATAAATAACCAAATTCACATTTATCCAATTTTAAATAGTACAACGGAACAACACGAATATTAGGTGATCAATAAAAAAACAGGTCTGAATAGATCAATGTCATGTCATTTCATTTCGGTCAAAGTGATTCATAAGCGGTAATATAATAATAGAATAATAATTATCTAACCTACAACTATGTTATATTCGATTTCCGACCATGGATGCTTCATGATTTTGGTTAACGACGTTATAAACATCAACTCGGTGAGATAATAAATGCTCATTAGTTGGTCTAACTTCATTAATTGTAAAGTTAACGTTGTTTTTAAAGCATTCTTCTCGACAAAAATAACGTGATATATGGAAAACATGGAAAGTGATGAATTATAGTTGAGTTCGTTTTTTACTTTGTTGTTATTGTATTAACTTCCGTGTGCACTAAGACTGGTTGTTGCGATTTGAATTTTCTTAGTGTTCCGGACGAGGAAGATCTTGTAAATGCTCATTCAAATTCTCCTGGCGGTGCAGATAAACCTGGTCAAAAGAAGAAACATTTCGATGGTATGAGACCGGGAAAAGCATCTGATACATTCAAGTGGAATTTCGAAACAGTTCGTGCTGTGCCATCACAGTCCGCACAGGTTTCTCATAATACAAGTTCAACTTACTCTTCTCCCGATGTTTCTTCTGCCCACCATTCTTCTTCATCGTCACTATCCAGTTCAGATGTCCAGCCTGTGATCAAGAGAACACCTGGTGGTCCTGCACTTGAATCTGAACGACGTCTCTCTGATGGATATGAATCGTAAGTAATCGCTAAAAATTAAACACTGTAACTATTGGGTTGGTTTTTCCATTTCTTACTATCTAACTTTTCATTACATTTATTGGGAGTATTGCGGACATAGTTCCTAATAAAAGTAAAACAGATGAGTCTAGATGTCGTATGTTTATCCTCATACTTGTAATTGTTTAAAATGTCTTTTATTTACTAGTTGAATGGTGATTGAAAGCTTTAATAAACGATTTATTAAAACGTTTCCAACAAAAGCGTGTAAAATAACTTGGATTCTTCACGGCCGTTCATATTTAAACATAGAAACGCGACTTTCACACAATCACTTTCCATAAGAAAATTGCAGATTAAATACTCATTCCAATATTGTACATGGAAATGATTATATAATAAGAGTCTCATACTGTGCTTGACCCATTGCTTCAACTTGTAAACTGTATACACTTTTCTAATGATACCCATACAGTAACTGCTGATAAATTCAGAAAATCACCGTCAGTAATGTTTTGTCAGTTAATGTTACTTTTGTATAGATTGTTCTATGGTTAGGTTCCATTTTTCCTGCCAACCGTCGTTTCCTGTTCTTTTTAGATTGTACGAAGATTTCCTGATTGAAATAGATTTATTACACTGTATCGTTTTCGTTATTATTGTCGATGTGTAACTTTGAATTTTAACGTTGTATAAAAGTATCTATACTAAATAAACAGGCTTCTGTAACTCATTCAATTTAGTAACTGCAAATCCACACACTAAATGGTGAATGTGCTAGTGGTATTACTTTATCAATAAAACTGACTTCCAGTTCGTTACATAGTGTGTAAGCCTGTTTCGATGCACGATGATGTCTGGTCTAGGAGTAGGTTGAAAGAAAGTTAGGGTTGACCAAACTAAATGCACGGCATCAGTGCATGAAGTTACCGACTTTTGGACTGATCCATGTAACTGGTTCCAGATTATTTGGTTGGGGTCTGCCCGATTATCTTAACCAGTGGCTAGCAACTTTGTGTGACATGGCTCAGAACTGTTTGGAACAATGGCACAGTTGCGTTCACTCTTAGACGTAAGTTCATAAATTACTTCTTAATGATTTTTTCCCTCTAATTCATGAATCTCAAATCATATCTTCTTCCCCGTAATCTTTTTTATTAACACCAATACTGTTAATATCTCTTCCGATGGAATTGATCGTAGAAATTTCATCTCACTGTGCCAGTGAGGTGTGACACTTGAACCGATGTACACATATGCCAGGTTCTATACTGTACGCATTTCATGATTTACCATCTACGGCGATTACTTTCAAATGTAGCGGCCTTATCTGAGCTGCTTATCGATAATCTAGTGTTTGATTATATAAGTGTAACTATGACTCGTAAACAAATCGTCCAAAGCCTACTAATTGATCACAATTTAAACATCAATATTTTTTATTTAGTTGTTTATTAGTATATTTCGTTGCAAGCAGAAATGATCTAGTCACTTTGTTTTTTAGTTGGACTCTCTGTAGTGTTTCCCACATTTTGAAGTTTCTGTTCTTACCTAGATGCTATTAAAATCTGTGGTCATTAGCCGTATTATTTAGTTATACGTGACATTATTTATGTTGGTTTAGCTTTCATCATATAATTTTCAAGTGCATTAATGTTAATACCTGCTCATCTTCTGCCTAGTTTATTTTCCGTTACATTGTTCATACTGGACATTTTCTGAACTTCAGTTAGTACCGGTTGCACTATACTCATCGTTTAACCGGACAAATGATGACTTCTATTTAGTATTACACATTTTTGATATTCAATTCATTTATCTATCCAATTTATTTGTTGTGTCTCTGGTATTATTGGTAAGTACTTGAAATTAGAAACCACCACAATCCTTACGACTGAAAGTGAAAACACAAAAGTTTTATACAAACAAAGACTTATTGACCTTTCAAAATCCACTTCACCTAACCACAAAAATACATTTATTTATCTTGTATACCCATTTGATAATTAATTAGTGTGAAAAGTGCACAGAATTATTACATAGACACATAATGCATATCATACTGAACAAGGTTCACACTAGTTTAATCCAAAGAATATTGTAATAATTAAATCTCATACTAAAAATAAAATCAATTTTATGCTGAGCAAATTACCATGCTAAAAATAAGACAACTTTTTTAGAGATTATCACATTGGATTGTATAGTGAACTCGTATTAAGTAAAGATCATGATGAATCAAGAAAGAAAACATGCTATTGTTTTTACCCCGAAAGCTAATTAAAGGATCCTGTGGTTTTCTTGCATTCTTTTTATCTCGTTTTATTACATTACTAATGTATGTGGAAGTACTGAAAGTGTATATTTTTGTGCGACTGAATATGCTTAAACTAAGTAAGATTTTTATTTATTTGTTTATTTTTTCTGAATGTTATGTTTCGTAGATACAACGCGCTCTTGTAACGTTAAACATTATATTGCTTCTTTTGGCATTCTTTTGACCTGTATTGGAAATGCTATATATTTTCTTTACGAAAATGGCACTAATTAGTAGCTTTAAAAGTAATCGTTAAGTACTTATCACACAACCTTTTTTTTGTCCATTTTCCAAATTGTTATCTAATTAGACGTGCCTCGAACCCTGTAATAGGAGGACCAATTCATTCCGGGTTTCAGTCTTCACAAATTGGTTTATGTACAGCAGACGAAAATTCTCGTGTCCAAATGTCACGTTCAGCAATGAATTCGAATCAGAATACCGCTGGTCCTAACGCATCTTCTGGCCCTACTAATATTCCGATTATCCGACCACAAAATGTTCAACCTGTTACTAGAATTATGGCTAGTGATATCCCTCAGTCTCGCCAAGTTTATGGTTAGTTGTGTTTGCTTATAGATTAAAGGTTATAAGTAGTGAAATGAATGATAGCGATAAGTCTTATACTTCTGAGTTGTCTTAACTTTTGTTTTGTAACACTTTGATTTTAGTAACGAGTGTGAAACAGTACTTTGTAGTGAGATTTTTCTAAAAGCACAATTATCCCTTACAATGGGTACATGTCTTTTTATATGGTACAAATATAATGCTGCTGCTTCTGCTCATTTACGAGACCTTGCGATGTTTCTTTTCGCTGTGTAGTTACTGTTTGTTCAATCTCATCATATCTCGTGGGAGAATCATACCGTGAATTTGGAGGTCATGAAACTTACTATTTATTTATACTAATAAAGTGTTCCTTTTACCTGTCATTCTTCGAGGTAAAGTCTCCAATTATATTATCGTATAATACAACCAATGTGGTAACTGAACCATTATTGTATCAGAGGTGTCAACTATTGACTAATCTAACTACCGTTGCCGACTGTAGTAAGGTTATTTTTAGAGACGACAATTTCATCACTTCATAAAGTCACTTCTTATTGGTTTGATTCATATCGTGAAAACAACTTCATAGGTAGATTAAAATCAATGATTTTAGACTTGGAGTGATTTGAATTAGGATCACAGTGGTGCAATTGTATTCAATGTTCATGTGGATCGTAAACAATATTGTGCTATTAATTTATATTCCTTTATCCACTTTGATCTTTTCTCTATTTATCGTCTTCATTTTCCTTGACTATTTCTTTGTATACTATTCAAAAATATGATGAGTCGACTGCCATATGAAATCGCACATCGATATATCTGACTCTGTTTATCTTATTTATCCTCATCCGGTACAGGATTTTCGTATCTATTTACCTTTGGACCAGGTGTATATTTTTTGAAGCTTCCGTTTGTATTTGTTGTGTAGTTATGTAAGTATATCTCGTGGTGCATGCCATTCATTAATGAAGTAGGACGAGAGATAAAATCGCTTTCGGTATAATTTTATAAAGTATGTACTTTGTATGCACATTCATACAGCTTCTTACATTTAAGAAATTGTTATGCTTGAACTAAATCGATTCCGCGGTAACGAACGAAAGCCAATGACACGATAATCTATTCTATTCTGTTGTCCCAGGCCCCGCTAACTAGATGAAGAAGTCCAAGGCAAGTAGGGGAATATATATGTATTCCGTAAGCAGCCGAGTACAAGCAATCAAATAAGGGAAAAAGTCAAGCGCATTTATACAGCAACAATTTGTCCTTGAACATCATTGGTAAATAGCACACACAAAGAAACAATGGACCAATAGCGTCTAAGGTAGTTTACAAGTGGGAAATATGACGTGAAGGTAAAAAGAGCGCGTTTGTCGCGAAAACAGCTAAATTCAAATTTTCAAAATAAAATTACAAAACTAAGCCATTTACCAAGTAAGTTCTGGGGATTTGACATCCCCAACAGAAATGTATGCTTTAATAAGTATCAAGTAGTTTTGAGTGGTAGGAAAAACAATGATGTACGAAATGAGACTTGATTCATATCAGTTAGACACTCCGAAAACTTCAGTTAGTTTCCAAGTAGACATTCACTTGTTTTTGTCCGTTCCCTTTTCTCGTTTTCTTACAGTTGGTGATCCTAGACACTCAAAATTAGTCAACTCAAAGAATATTTCTACATCAACTAATAACAAACCTCAACATAGTCAATCACCACCATTGGTTGTAAATCTGAATAAACCATCTTGTTTCCATCAGCACGTTTTACCTTTGCTTCAGGATGTAAGATATATTATTTTGCATTAACACTCTACTCATTTTTTATGCGTATGGCTTTCATTTTTATGAAAAAAATTGTTTCGTGGTAACTTTGTGTAACGTCTGATTTTGTTGCTGTTTTCCCCAGTTTGAATCGTATATTTGCCGAACAACTCAGTTGGTCAAATATAACATTAGAGGAACTTAATCTCTGACATCTTACCTCAGTCAAAAACTATCAGAGTAATTAATAGTTTCAATCGATGAAATCTTTCGACACTTGATCGATAGAATTTCTAATAGTTGTCAAACGTCTAGGACAATAATTGTGGTAAATAAAAACTAAGACTGAATGCTAATTAGACTAACATCTGGTGTCTAAGTTAGGTTTTCCTGTAGCTATAGTGAAAATTCTTGACCAATGGAGTACGACATTGGGTGTGAGGTAGTTACTCGTCGAAGACAAAGGAGGATTGTTGAACAATATGGTGAATTTTTTAAAGTGAAACACCTGGATTGTTGTGTGTCAAATCAGTGGTCTAAATATTAAGGACTTATGGTGAGACCTAATAGTTTTGTATTCGACCTACTGAGTTTTTGGATGCTTATTGTCGAGATGTTTCATAATAGGACGAAACAACTATCCAGTGTCTTTTGGTTCGTAAAATTTTGTTAACTAAGATTAGTTCGTGACATAAACATACAATCCATCAATTTTCACAAACCACCTATGGTAATAGTAAGGGATTTCCCATCACAAAGATTCGCCGTCTAAGCCTATCAAGTGTATGTATGATCTGATTTTGTTTTATATATAATGAAACACAAACAATTTAATTGATTCGATAAAAAATTGTTGATTTATTATTATTTGTGTTGTCTTCAGGTTTTTGTATGGTTACTTGTATAAACGATACTGTTAAAAATCGAGTTATCTCAAAATAATCTACAGTTTGTTAAACTATACACTCAAATGTTGTTTTATTTTGTGATGTATTCTCACCATATTACATTTATTCTATTTTCATCACTTTCAAATGTTTTGTGATTTTTTCTTCAGCTCCAAGATGTTTACAGTCAAGTCACTAGTGGTGCTTCAGATTCGATCTCTAATTTAGCGGCTACATTTCAGGCAGTTGATGCTTCGTCACCTCAGTATACAACTGAATTTTTAGCGGAGCTACTAACACGTGTATTGGATAGCAATCCACGATTATCTGCCAATGTTAGGCGTCGTGTATTAGATCGCTTACGCATGAATTCGTCCGACTCTTAATGTAAATTATTTTCCAATAGCAGTGGTATGTTATACCTACATTTTTCGATCCTGTACTATTGATACCTGTGTTTTTAATGTATAACTTCGAAAATATTTTCTGTAAAATCATGTTCATTTTCGGGATTATACGTAACCTCTAAACGAAGCAATGTCTTCTCGTCATTTTTACCTGCGCTTCAACACATAGCAGTTTAAATACAATCAAAATGAGTTGTACTATCACTCTTTGGAAAGACATATTGTCGATAATATGATGGCACTAACCCGAAACGTCCTCGTTTGCAACATCTGGGTATAAATGTGTTTCCTTCACATTTCATTACTCCGAAATATATATCTTTTATTTATTTTCGAAATTATCTGTTATTTGACTATCAAAATTTTGTTTTACTTTACTCCTCTATCTTGTTGTTATTCTATTTTCCGTGGTACGTGTTGTATGTACTACCAATAGTTGTTTCTGTCGTATCTCCAAAGATGACCAGAATCTGAAATTTATTTGTTAATTGTCGAGAGTTACAGGCAATCGACAGTAACTTAATCTATTCTTTACAATATTTGGTTGTGTGAATAAAGTAAAATCAGTTTATTTGGTTGTAAACATATCGTCAAAGAGTGATGAACAATAGTAATTCTTGTATGTTAAAGCGTTTTTAATAGTTTTAGATGCTTGTGCTAGTCAACCCTGTAGTGAAACCAGTTATATAACCTAGGGGATTCGTATAATTTTGAAGTTATTTAATTCTTCTTATTTAATAATCTGGCTAAATCCCATTGTTTATCTTCTGTGTGTTTTCTATTTTTCCAGCAATCCCATTCCTATCGTGGATAGTTTTATATATTCATCAGTTTATTATATATATATTCATTTAAATTACCGTTAGCGTAAAATTGATACACAATCATATTCGCTTTAGTACATCTATTCTGTCTTCATTTTTATGACTTCTCATCATTTTGTTCTTGTAATATGATTTATTGCAATGAATGTATTGTATGAAAAAATATTTTCTTAACTCAATATATATCAGCAATATGTGCTGTGTAATTGTAATTTAACAAACTCAATGTGCTCAACTTTGTTTTTTTCTTCACATTCCTTAACACCTATTAGTTAGTCTTTGTCACCTTTTTATCATGGGAATAATCTATTCTTGTGTTTTTCTAACATATACGTGTTCGTATATGTAGCTCGTTAAAAAAAGACAGTTTTACTGCATATTTTGCCCTTTAGTAAATTGAGGCGAAAAAAGTTACTATTCTATAAATTACATACTTCTCATGACCTTGTTATTCAATACACATTATTGTTTATTACAATCATTGTTTCATCGAAGTTCGCAAATTTTTTGTGTGTTGTCCTTGCTTTTTTTATCTATTAAATGAATAATCATTTTCGTTAACTATCAATTAAATTTAATATCATCTACCTGAAGATGATTATAGGTTGTAAAAAGAAATTTTAAGTATTAGTTAGTGCGTTTTCATGTTACCGTTAGTTTTCTTTTTTTTTCCTATGGTTGTTTTCGGGTATAAATTTTTGTTGTTCCTCTCTGTTAAGTACTATTTTGTTATCTTTTAATATATAAGCCTAATCAATCAAATCACCAAAAAAATTTAAGTATATATGTAAACTGTTATCTTGAATGGATTGCTCTTTATATATATATAGTTTCTTTTAATGTGAAATTTTCGCTAATAGTACATTGGATATGTCCTACAGGGCATTTTATGAATGATAATTTTCACATATGAAACAATTATTATTTCTACTACTAATATTAGTAATAATAATGCTGCATTGTCTTTCAATCATTTTTCTGTTCTAATCTCCTTATATTTCTCTTATGGTTGGTATTTAAATAGTGTATGTTCATATCTCTGTGTGTCTGTAGCTGCTGGTAGCCAGCAAACATGTTTCACTGATTATGAGAAAATATAAAAGTTTTGATTAATAACTTATTTTATCGTTTTCTTTGCTATCATCTTTGGTTAGCTAAAAGCTACAGTGATCTTTGCTATCGTTTATTTACACTTTACTTGGCAAATTAGTTATTGCACTCCAAGTGAAAATTCAGATAGAGATATGATATTTTGAACTACATGCGTCACTGTCTAACTAATGACGCAGTTGAAGTGGAATAGAAAACTGCGATACACTGCATTCTTTTATTACTGAGATTTGATTTTGATGAATTGTATTACTATATGTCATCACTACTACATCGGTGCTATTAAGTTGTCGGAACACAGACTAGTTATATAAATTTTAAACAATCTACAAAATTGTTTTGATTACTTGCATGTTATTTCATTGTTCTCCAGACTTTACACTATATGCTTTTCTTTCAGTAGAATGAGTCAGTTCTTGAGTGCAATGAAAATAACGTGACTTGGAATGTGCTAGCCACACTATAATAGAATTGACGGTGTGTATGTTGTAACTTTCACTCCTCACAATCAATATGACTGACGGAATCCTAGTTTTTGAATGTTTCTATGATGTTTGACCATCACGATAATATTTTGTAAATACAACTCTGTCAGTTACAGTGACTCTGAAAGAAGAATTTACACAAGTTATTCGGGGAAGCAATAAATTTGGTTACTAGTTACTCTACCTAGATTCTAAACATGTCAAAATTAGAATAATTTAGAGTTTTATGAGAAAATGCAACCAGACTATGCGTTTCTATTTGTTTTGTGCTATGTGCCATTTTTTAAGTCCGAGAAAGAATTAATTGTTTCCCTTTGGATTGTATGATTATTAAAATAACAACATAATAAAATTAAAATAGTGTAAGTGATGTGATCTTTAAGGGTGTTCATCTGAACCAATCTGCAATACCATATATTGGCACCATGATTGTTAGTTATTTATAATTTGACAGTATCGAGTGAAGGCTTTTGTAATGTTAAGCCACAAAGATTACGAAAATAGTTTGCATGTCGGAGGATTTAACTATGACCCTTCAATTGATTGTTCCGCAATGATCCATAGAGTTGCGATTTGGTCTTTGCACGATCGATCCTTACAGAATCCAGCCTGTTGGTCTCGAAGTTGGGCGTCTACGACCTATCAGCCACTTAGTTATAAATTTACTAACATTTCATTAATTAATGCTCCATCAAACTAGAAAGCTGCTGTCCTCTAAGTTACTATGATATAGACAACTAATCTTTTTCTCTAGATCTGACTAGTTGTTGGTACCTTGAGGTTTATTTTCTCAGTTTATGGAATTTCATCGCATTATTGTTAGGGTAAACTTGTAGCAAAAATCGCTTTAGTTGCATAGCTGTGTTAGAAAACTACTCATTCTGAACCGTGCGAACCACATATATTCTTAGTGTACAATTCGTTCTGAGTATAATGTGGAACATTATTTTCTCTAACTGCCTATCATTTTGTTTAGTTGATCCAAAGGAAGTGTAAATTTTGGTTCCATTCATGTACTTGATAAAATGCAAAGTTGCCAAACCTATGATCTGGTGTCAAAAAAGGCTACTTTTAAGGTAAACAGAAAATGTTTATATCACATGTTATTGAATCAGCAGTACACAGTCAAGTAAAGTCAGATAGGCATTGGGAAACAATAAAACACTGAATTCTTAAAGTTAGAATAAATGTAGTGCAGATATCTTCGTGCAAGACTCCGTTCTTAATTGTTTTCTGAGAGAATTCACAGCTTGCTTTCTGTGTATATAAGGTCAGTGAAAAGGTGTCGGTGAATAGAAATTTGTCATCTTTACTTAAGTATATCTAGACGTTTGTGCAAAACAAAGGCACTGATCGTGTCATGATTTGTCACAATCTTAACATTTGAACAAATGCAATTCAAGTCCGTTTGTAAGGATTAGACGACTACCAACGGAGCCTGCACTCGTCCAAAGTCATCGTGTACCATGATTTAACACAATAAACTTATCAGAAGGGGGTTTTTGTGGAGAATTTAGTAATATAGTAAATAACCAAAATCACAAAGACCCCCTTCTGATGATGATCATATGCTCACCAGTGACTAGCTCCATGAGGTATTTCCTGGAGTTCTAGTGAGAAGCAGTAACCAGTGGTGTTCAACCAAGTCTGTTGGGAGATATCAACTCACTGATACATTGGTGAATGGTTGCTCACTGGTCTATTGGTCAAGTGCTCACGCGCAAGATCAATGGGTCCTGGGTTTGAATCTCGCGAGGCGGGATCGTGGATGCGCGCTACTGAGGAGTCTCAAAATAGGACGAAACAGTCGCCCAATGCTTCCAGGTTTTCAATGGTGGTCTAGCTTCAATTAAATCGTGATTTCGACAATAAACTTAATTTTAAACGCCTCTTAAGTACTACGAGCACGTTGGATGTCTCGGAATTATTTATAAACTCATCATTAAAAGTTCGCATTTCTTGATTGACAAACCAATAAACTAAGAATTGTTTTTCCCGTCCTGATGATTTCATAGAAATAAAAATAAAACTGTTCAAATTTCCTATCATATATGAAACGTGACTATAACGGAGAGTCACTAAGCTAGGATTTTAATTAGCAAAAAAGAATACAATTGTTACTATTAATGACATACTAATAATAATTGTAGTTTATGTAATTTGTATTCAGAAACCGATAAAATCAATTTCGATATACACGATCGTACAATTAAATCATTGTAGATTACATGGAAATGATTATTCGGTTTGGAATGAATAATAATAAAATGATAAATATAATGGTTAATTTTGGCAACTGTCATTCTGTTTTTATATTATGCTAAATCGAAATCATATATTTTTGTCTGTTTACAAGACACACATACACATAGATCTAAGTTTCCAAATGAAATTGCACAGAGGGAAGCAATAATTAAGAAAAAAACAAAATAAAGGAATAACTAACTAGTCGTTTAGTGAATAAAAATCCACCTTGTAAAATCAGTTTGAATAAATTGGAATTAAATAAGTGTTTTTATAAGGCAATTTTTAAAAAAAAATTCATTCACTCTCTTATAATTAAATAAGTTGGGTTAGTGTAAGGTAATACCTAAGAAAAAGCATTTGCTCTCATATTAAAAAAATACCATAATCGGTTGCAAGTGTAATTGTGTTTTTTTTTTGATTGATCACAAAAGCAGTGATGTAACAACAGTCAAATAAATATACAATATAAAAAACCAGTGTTCATCATTATCTTTTAGTATAATGAAACAAATAAATCCAGGATCTCTAGCTATGTAGCGTATAAGTTAATAAAAAAATAGTAGAGGCGCAGCTCGTTTGTTATTAGCATTATGAGAAAGAATGAAGCAAAATAGAAGTCAATCTTTACAATAACCGAAAAGTAAAATAGAGCAGTGATATCACTCATAAGGTGAGAAAGTTTCTTGAACATAATATCTAGAACTAGAAACGCAATCTATACGTACAAGCAGTGGTTTTTTTTAAAATATAGTGAAGTATTCTGTATCCTTTTTTTACACAAACGTTGAACCAGAGTTGTAGATTTACAAAATTTAGTAGTCTCGAGGATTTATGTTTCTGTAACAGACCGAGCTTGTTCTCGCGCTAATAGAATGAGTGGAATTAAAGTTATCACTGGGCGAGCATTCTGTTGTATGAATGGGTGCTTCACATGCAGAAACAGAACAAATTGAAATAAGATTATTAACATGGAAAAATACGTATATGTACATAAAGTAATGTAATGAGAAATGGACGCTAAACATACTTCTCATTCTGGTGTCATTCATGCCTATTTAACATAGATAGTTTTGAAAGCGTTCTCATGAATATATTAAAACAATTCGTTGAACACGGCTTTGTTTACCCAATTAGACTAGGTAATATAAACCATATTTGGAATTTATTTGCTTGAGTCATCGTGTTGCAAATTTGGTTGATATTTTTCAGTTAACAGAAACACTAATTAAAACTGGTAATTAATTAATTAATCTTATATTAGTTGCAGGTTAAATAGCCGTGATGTGTTCTTGATAAAGATAATGAGTCATACTTTGTCATCAATGTTTTGGAACAGTTTCTCAACGTCCGATAGAAAACTAATTAGTTTCTTTTTACTTCGTTGGAGCTTGAATCTTAGGAAACTGTTGCATTTCTGCTCTTAAGAATCCCTGAATATGATCATGTCGCCAACAATTATCAGCCTCAACTGTCAGTTTTATTTCTCAGTGGTCTATCGGTTAAGGGCTTCGGCTCGAGACTGGTAGGTCCTGGGTTCGAATGTCGCGAGTGCGGGGTCGTGAATGCGCACTGCTGAGGAGTCCTATAATAGGACGAATCGGCCGTCCAGTGCTTCCAGGTTTTCGATGGTGGTCTAGCTTCAATTAACTCATGTTTTCAACAGTTTTATATCTGCCAGTTGAGAAAATGTTATTATCCTAAATCCCGCACTTTCAGAACTGCACGCAATTTCATGGTAGTAGATTATTTAGAGCTGACTTAAAGCAAAATGTACAGATAGTCGAAATATGTCATTACAATGTAGTTCTTTATATCAAATGGATAAATCCTTGACCTAACAGATAAAAGGTTCCAGTAAAATTGTTCAGAGTGACAATTATCCAAAAAGGATAATGTTTCAACAATCAAACACATGGATGTAAATTCTGAGGAGCGATAAGCACGAAAACCATTTGATTAGGCGCTTGCATCGTTCTTCTGTTGAATTTCACTTAAAAAAAAGAATAACCGTTTACGTTTACTTTGCACTGTTTTACTTAGATACTGATATCCTTTTTCTCTATATTACAAGCTTATAGTTCGGAATTTAGGTTGGAAAATGGTTCTGATCTCATTGTGCTCTCTAACTGAAAATGAAACTGAGTAGAATAAGATTTACTCAACACTATTGTTGCTATAATCGCATTAAAATTATAGAGAAATTGAATAGAATTCACTTCATATACAACATTATAAAATCTATTCAAAACTTTTATACATATTTATATATTGACTTATTTAATAAATCATAGTTATTTCAAAAAATTAAAATATTTACTTCAATTAGTTCAGATGCATTAGCACGAGATTGAGCATCCACTTCTAAACATCTGTCAAGAAAGTTTAACAATTCTGGACTAAGATTATCTTTACGAAAATCTGGTTTACCATTAGTTGCTATTAAATATAATGCCTAAATAGTTTAATAAGAAAAATAATAAAAAGAAAACTGATGAGAATTTTTTTTTAAACATTTAAATTCATTTTGTTTTCTAGATCAGTTTTTTTTTTATTTAAAAAAAATGTTATTGACTTGATTCGATTTTACTAATTGTAAACATAGAAATTAAATATGCATATTAATTGACACCCTTCTATCAAGAATTTTACATTAGTTTTCTAAACGAAATAATGTACGAGTGGGGAGATATTACCGAAATATTATTATTACCATTATTGTTAAACAGTATATATGAACGAAGAATATTCTTTTCGATAAATTCTCTTCAGGTTCTACAATTATATATCCAAATTAATAATCCGAATAAATGGTCAGGTTAATGCATGTAAATTTAGGATTGTCAAACCAAATAGAATAAAATTGTTAATGTTGACATAACTCATATAGAATGTTAACTTGAATCTGTATATATGTTAAGTGAAAATTTAAGATCTGTGATCATAATAAATATGCATCAGATAGAGTGAGAGAACACCTCCCAGAGTGGCTAAGCAAGGGTTTGGTGAAGAAAGTAAACAGCTCGTTATTGGCCCATTTAGTACAAACTGGTCATAGTGCCAGTATAAAGTAATCCTTTTCAATTATTTATAGGGTCAGTAATCTTTTGCCAAAGCTTTTCAGGTTTAAAGTTCTTCAAACGGCGGAGGCAGTTGACATCAGGATAAAGAAAACCGAACTATGCGTACAGAAGAAATATCTCTAACCCCTGCACCTTCCTT